TATTGAAGAGGCTTTCCTTTCTCCACTGTATGTTTTTGGCTTCTTTGTCGAAAATTATTTGCCCATGTAAATATGGGTTTACTTCTGGACTCTCGATTCTGTTCCACTGGTCTGTGTGTCTATTTTTCTGCCAATACTATGCTGTTTTGATTACTGTCGCTTTGTAGTATAATTTGAAGTCAGGCAGAAGTTCATATTATTACAGGCCTATCTCAGAAAACAAGAACGAGCCCAAATAAACAACCTAACACTTCATCTTAAAAAACCAGAAAGGAAGAACAAATGAAGCCTAAAATTAGCAGAAAGAGAGAAATAATGAAAATTAGAGCAGAAATAAATGAAACTGAAAACAACAACAACAAAAAAATAGTAGAAAAAATAAATGCAACAAAAAATAAATGCAACAGAGAGCTTTTTAAAACTTCGATTCTGGGTCCTACTCCCAGAGTTTCTGACTCAGTAGGTGTGAAGTAGGGCTCCAAAATTTGCATTTCTAACAAGCTCTCAGGTGATATGATCAAGAGATCACACCTTAAGAGCCCCCGATTTCATTGGGTTTTTCCTTCTAAATATGTATGTCAGCTGACAGGACTTTTAATCTATAAAGAAAATTTTCTTAGCCAATTTCTTACCTAGCTCAAAAGGAAAGAAGAGCAATGGCTATAGAGAGCTTATTATATGAAATACAAATGCACTGTACATACACAGGATCCTCTCCATGACCCCATTTCACAAATGAAGAAACTGGGAATTTCAATGATTCACCCAAGGTACTCAGCCAGTAAATATAGGAACAGTCTCCAAAATGTGAGTTCTTAACCATTATATTATTCTGCTTCCCCAGGTAACAGATAAGACCTTAACTGTGCTCATTGATTCATCAGGAATAATAAGAATTATGTGGTTTAGGTAGCTAAGGAAACTAAATATTTAGAAAAGCTCTTTGCTTTTAATTTTTCTCTTTTGATCTCTAAGCTAGTTGAATAATGGTTTATGATTCATTAGAATGGATTCAAGCCTAACGTATCTCTTACATAATACATTCTAAATTTGCCTAGATGATTTTAACGAGAAAGTGAAATATCGACTATATCTTTCATTTCAGAAAGATATATGTCAACAAAATATGCCAACAAAATGTTCCATTTTAAACAAACTGTATTAATTACTATTCTTTAATTGCAAGAAAGCAATCTGAGCTAATGTAGCTGAAAATGAAATGTGCAGAATCCAAGTGTAAGAATATGGTCTGGCTTCAGAAGAGACTAAAACAGGGACTTGGAAAACATCAAGAGTCTTTGCTTTTGATGTTCTCTCTGCTTTCTGATCCATTTATCTCTATGTACAGAATTTCTCTACATCCTCAGCTCACGTGAAGGAATCTGGCCACCCAACAATTGTTAAGTTTACATTTGCAGATCCAGCCTCTTTCAGACACCAACTGGCCATTCCCTAGTCCTAATTCCCAGTTCCCAGTGGAAAAAATCTGAATCGCTTTGTTTAGGTTAAGTATCCTTCCCTGGCCCCATCATGTGGCTGTGGACGTAGGATCATTGCGAACAAATTTGGTTACCAGTACAAATTTGGCTACTGCTGTGCCTGGGGCAGAGGAGGAAATCATTGACTGTGAACTCTGCTAAAACTTCAGGAAGAGTCCACTCAGAAACAATTCAAGTGCTTGAATCATTTGTCTCTATTATAAGATCTTATAGTCAGGTGTAGATCAAGAATGTAACATTCTTGACCTATCAAATTAGCTGAAACAAGGAAGACAATATACACTGATGGTGAGGCTGAGAAAAAAATATACTCATACATTAGTGATGGGAGCACAAAAGGGTACAAGCCTGCGTCAAAACCTACCCAAAATACAGATGCATTTACCTTCTAAGCTAGCAATCCCATTTTAGAGAATTTATTCAAACAGGGATCAAGAGAATTGACCCAGAGTATAGATGTTTCAGACTTTACACTTTCAAAAGAAAAGAAAATCATAGACACAGAATACCTTACTGTAATATCAAGAGACAGAAAACAAAAAATACCCATCCCTACACTCTAATGATTAAATGTAGCCAGTTCATGAAAACAGATGGTCTTATATGCCATACATTGAAAAAAAACTGCACCCAATTTTTAGAACTATTAATTTACAGGCAACATTCTATGATTGCTGCTATTCCATACTATGAGGTAAAAAGTCTGCCCTATATAATGCTAATGTGATCTAGAGGGGGAAATTGCTCCAAAAATATCTAGTCCTACTGGTGTTGTATGGTGTTAGGGACTGTACTGATCATATCTCTCTCTGCAGCACAGCCTGTAGAATAGCACTAACATGAAACTGCTTTATCTAAGTGACGAACAAATGATATGGGAAAAAATTGCAGTCGATAATTTCATGCACATCAACTGATCCTTGGGAAAATCCAAGTAAAGAGCATGGTTTTAAATCATTTATCCTCTTTTTCCTTTGCAGTATATCTCTTCACACATTGCAGACTTTAAAAGTGAAATGTTTGAGGAACTCCTTAAGCACCTTTGCCACTGTGCAGATGAATTCCGGGAGGTCATAAAAACTGATATGCGGAGGCAGATGTTTGCTGAACTCTTCTTGTATTGTGACCGTGGGAAGGTAGGGTAAAACCTTAAAGCTATGCTTCTCAATCTATTTGTTGCAAAAGACCAATTTTTAAGACGTTGCTCACGGTGATGTTTTTAATTTCCAATCTATTGTGGACTGCTACTCAGTGAAAATGGATTAGTAGGGGTGAAAAAGACATACGAAATACAATGCACATTTTTTTATTATCAGATTCAAATCTGATTTATTGTCTGTTACTTTCTCAAATTGCTACGAAATTTTCTAGATGCTATTCTCAGTTTCTATACTTTTCCCATCAGAGACTTGTATCAGACTATAGACCACACCTTGCATGGCATGACATTTCACAATGTATAACTTGTCTCTAAATCTCTTTCCCATTCTTAAGAATGCGTTGCTTAAGATTGTTTTTGCTTAAGATTGATTTTTTTCAGTGACTTCCTATAGAAAAGAGTTGCTCAGAATAGAAAGCCTACCACATTTTATTATGCTGCTTCTTAAAAACAGGAAAAGTTTATATCAAAAATGATTTCTAAGAACACTATTTTGGAGGTGTGCCAGGATATCAAATAGAATTGCAAAAATAGACACAAACTTTACTGATACATATTTGTTTGTGAACTTTGTTTGTATCCCCATATTCCAGAAAAAATTTAGGGAAGCTTACTAGAATAGATAAAATGCAACAAAGGAATATAAATTAAAAGTAGGGTGAAAAAAGTAAAAAATAAGAGAGAGGATACTAAATGAAGCTGGGAACAATGCTCCAAATGCATACTGTAATGACCTAAATATTTGTTCTGGGCTGTCTACAAGTTTGAATCTAACTTTCCTGTCAGTGTGTGAAAAGGGAAACATGACTAAACACTATTGAAAATGTTTATAAGATAAATACAAACTGGTGTTAAGAAGAGGTACAGAAACTTGGGATTCAGAGTCAGGAGTTTCTCCCATTAAAGGGGCCCTATGTGTTGAAGTGAACATCCTTTATGATGGACGTATAATAAATGAAACAATTACTTTCTTAGGGCAGTTTCTCATAACCACCTTAAGTGTAGGCAAATGATGCCACACCTGACTACAAATGAGAAAAAACAATTCTTAAAGAGTCAATATATTGCAATCTAGGTTCTCAGATCTCTGCTAATTTGGCTTAAGTCAAGAATATATTTTATAAAATCTGAAATGTCTATGTGTCTTTCAAGCAATCCTCCTTGAACACTGCTTCTTTTAAGAGAGTTTGTAATAGATCTTGGATGACATAAAGGTCAAGATTTTACTCCCTGGTAAATGCATGGATATCAACTATTCTCTCTTGGCTAATTTAATATCAACTCATGTGCCATAACAAACATAGTGGGATAATATTTGGAGAGATTAATTGAGGTTTTATTATGCCTTTTGCATTTCCCCCCTAGCATTCAAACAGTAGTTATGTGCTGATTTGTAGGGACGGTAGATACAGTCTAGAATAAAGACGTTAATTGCATTTCTGAATATATTTAACACGTAGCTGAGGCAAGAGTTCAAAAGCCTGTACTTTCACTTGAAAATCCTGAGACCTTGAGAAAAAGTGAAGAATCATAGAATAAGAAAGAAAGCAACATATGACATCAAAGTACTTTTTCTATCACTGGAAAATTGTGACCAGCTGTTAGGAGAAGGAGATTGGAGGAGATGTGACTAGAGGTTAGAGGTTGTTTGGGTCGCTAAGTCAGAGTTAATATCTGATCACTCACTCCTGAGCCCCAATCAGGGTTGAAGGTTGAAGGAAACATTATAAACACTCTTGAAAATATCAAGTAGGTTGAGGAGAAATTTAAGAACAGCATGGTTTGTGCTTCATTTCCTGGGTGTAGCTTAGAGAGTACAAGCTTCATAAAGCAGTTTTGAATCCAACATGACACTAAAGAGGAAGGCTAACCACTGCAGAAGGAGGGGACTAGGTGGGTGGGCTTGAGATTAGTCCCACTCCTGTGGCTAAAGGTGATGAGTGTTCCCACACACCTGTGTGTGAGGTGGAATGGGTATGCAGAAAAGATGGCAGTAAAAGTTTGGGGAGTATCCCCAGGAAGACACCTGGGATTAGAACAAGAAGAATCATGGCCATAAATAGCAAACACAAAAACAAAAACTTTCAAATGACTCAGTGGAATGAACTCCATATGGTTAGAGCCAACAGGTACTATGTCTGTCACTGAACTAAATACACCTTTCTCTGATGGTAGAAAGCTAAATAAGCCCCCAAAGAAAAATGGTCAAAGGATATGAACACATAATTTATGGAATCATTGTATGCTCAACAGATGAGCAAACATATTTTTAAATGATAATACCTATTGCTGATAGGGATAGAGGAAAAATATTTTCTCAAACATTTCTGGTGAAAATTTAATAGCTATAGTACTTTTGTAAAGCAATCTGTATATATCTATTTAAATAAAAATGCATACATCCTTCAACCACATGATCCAATTCCTGCAATTTTTATCCCAAAGAAATAAAAGCACCAGTAAATAGAAATCACATGTACAAGAATGATTTCAGTGACATTGTTTATACATGAAAGAAAAAGAGAGAGAGAAAGAGAAAGAGAGAAGGAAAGGGAGAGGGAGAGAGAGAGAGAGAGGAGAGAGAGAGAGTGAGAGAGAGAGAGAAAAGAAGAATTGCGATTAAGGAAATGCTTGTCTGTAGGGGAATGTTTTAAAAATGATGGTACATTTACATCTCGGAATATGATGCGGCCTTCATAAAAATTGAATAGATAGTTAGAACCGGCAGTCCCCGTAGGGATCCCTTCAAGAGCCTCCCCTCCAAAGTTGTCTGCATTGAAATTACAACCAAATTATAAAATCATCAATGTGTAGAATCACCTGAAGTCTAGTCGATCATAACACCTATGTCTGATAATATAAAAGAGCCACATTGAAGCTATGGGAATGCCCAGGCACAGAAGTTGCAGCAAAACTGAGGCTGTATTGGCTGGATGGACCTTGTCTCCCTGAGATCCCACTTCACCCAAGCCACAAAGTGCCCGCAGCCCATTGACAAGCCCTCCTTTGGCTCTGTGGTTGTGCAGTCAGTGGTAACAGACCTTGGCTAGCGTAGCAAGTGCATTTCGAGGAAAACAGTTGTGGACAGACCACTGCTGCCTGTACAAGCTGCAATATCTCTTGAGGGGATTACAAGGGTCTGTATTGGCCTGACGGCCCTTGACTCCTTGAGTTCCTGCTCCATCTAATACACAAAGTGCCCACTGCACATTGATAGATAGTTGCCCCTGCCCTGGGGTAGTGCGTTTAGACACAGGGTGGGCAGCAGCTGACCTTGCTACAGGTGGAAACTTGTACAGAGAGCCACAGAGACAGCATTGGCATGTAAACTGACACTGCAGTGGCAGGGGGAAATTTACTCAGGGTTCCTGCACCACCCAACACACATATCACCCAGAGGTTCATCCAGTTTCAGAGACTTACAGGCAACTGATAGGCAGTGTCAGGCCTTGAGGAGCACTGGTCCCTTTGCTAAACTGCCATAGGTCAGGGATGGGGGATAACCGACTGCTGCCTACAGTGTTATCTCTTCCACTTACCTATAGATCCAGCATAGGCAACAACCACCTGCGGATCGCTTTGTAGTTCTCACTGGGTAGTCCTGAGCAATCATAAGCAGCAGCTGACCTTGGCCTACGAGGGAGCCCCTCCCAAGGGGCCACAAAACCAATGCATCTGGTGACTGGCACCAGACCACAGCAGAGCAACTCCTGACTAGTCCCATTAGTCATACAAAGGGTGGTTGCAACAAGTACACAAACTTGCTAGGGCAAATACCACTCTGTGGGGTCAGCCTCCACACAACTCTTACCCTATGGGTGCAGCCAGTTCCCACAATTAGTCAGCCTGAGCATTAATCCCATCCACTGATCTGCTAACAACAATAAATGCTTGGCAACAACAGAAAATCACATACAACCCACACAAAGATCACATCCAGAGCCTCCGGCATAAGGGAACAGAAAATCACATACAACCCACACAAAGATCACATCCAGAGCCTCCACTGGGCCACACAGGACACCTTCCACATTAAGCCATCTGGCCAAGGCTGAGAGACGAAACAAATATTCCTGACACATAGAAATGAACACAGAGAGAGGCTAATAAAATGAGAAAACAAAGAAACATGCTACAAATGAAACAAAAGGAGAAAACTCCAGAAAATAAGCTAAATGAAATGGAGGCAAGCAACCTACCAGAGACAGAATTCAAAGTAATGGTTATAGAGATGCTCAACGAACTTATGGGGAGAATGGATGAGCACAATGAGAACCTCAACAGCATAAAAAAGGACATAGAAACCATAAAAAAGAAAGACAGAAATGAAGAATACAATAACTAAAATGAAGAATATACTAGAAGGATTCAACAGTAGATTGGATGAAGCAGAAGATCGAATCAGCGAATTGGAAGACAAAGTAGCAGAAGACACCCAATCAGAACAACAACAACAAAATCTAATTTAAAAAATTAGGAGAGTTTAAGAAACCTTTGAGACAATATGAAGCATAAAAATATCCAGATCATAGGAGTACCTGAAGAGGAAGAGAGAGAACAAGGGGTTGAGAATCTATTTGAAGAAATAATGACAGAAAACTTCCCTAACCT